TTAGGGGCCGCCGTGCCCTGCGGAACCGCGGTCGGACCCAAGCCGCGTCGTGCCTGCAAGACGGCATCATCGTTTGGTATAGGTGTCATAAATAATCGGTTTGGTATGGCCGCAGTTGTTCGCGCGTGCGTCAAAGAATCAGGTTGTGGTTGCTGCGCGACATCGCGGGCTACCTGTCGTTCCGGCGTCACATTATCCGGTTGCGACAATAAGAGTAGTGAAGGTAATGATTGTGTTCGCACTAATGGCGTTGGAAAGGAAGTAACGCGACCAGGTAAAGATTGAACTAATTCACGTAATCGAGAAGCGATTCCACGAAGGCCTTGCCGTTGTTCGCTTTGGCCATTACTAGTGCCCGGTGCGGCGGCATCTAATACCGTGAGTGCTACGCCCGCGTTAGCTTCGGGCATGGATTGGTCCGCCGGTTCCGATGATTCTGAGTAAGGACGAAGCCCGCCCGTAGGCTGAGTCTCCTCAACGCCCGTAAGCTGTTGAAATGAAAGACTTATATCTGGAGTTAATTGTTCACTCGGAGGTTGGTTACGATTTAGAGCGCCACCCGTAGGTTGGTCACGATTGCGAGCGCCACCCGTAGGTTGGTCGCCAGTACTTTCAGAAATGTAAGATGCCAAAGAGGTACCAAGTCGCCGAAACAGAGCTAGCGCCGAGTGAGGAGACATAGCAGAAAGTCGGCGAAGAATGCTTACCTCTAACTGATCAGCGGCGGCATCCGTGGGCATCAGGTCCGCCGCAGCAGACCCACCAGCAGATGTGTTAGCATCCTGATTTGTAACTGTCTGCTGGTCCGGCAAATTATTTTCTAGAGTGTCCGAAGACTGTCGGCCTTCGGCTGACATAGCAATTCGCACCAATGTGAGAGCCTACCTGGTTACTTAGACGGATTTAGCGACTAGACCACTTATGAAGGTGTTGATAAACACCGGGGGTTTTCCTTGGGGTTTTATAGTCGCTTGCAGTCCGTCGGAGGCGCTCGGGATAAGATGCCGTACAATAGTAGATATTCCTGCGGAAGAGAGTCGCACCTTCCAGAGAAGAGTTACGATACCGGTCTGGCCGTGAACGGGCAGATGGTGTACGGAATCAAGTATGTGTACGGATCGATATAGCCGTAGCCGTAATCATGTACTGCTAAGTACGGTTATAACCGAAAGATGACTTGAATAGTTGTATGTATTGTGTGTACGATATTCGCCTCGACGATGGAATGATAAGAGGAATTGGAGTCCTTACTCGGAAATATCTTAAGTCCTGAGCCAGGCTCTTACAACAATCACGCGAATTGGCACCAATCCGCGTTATCGCCTGACCACGCCTGTCTTCGCTGTATAACTCTACTCCTGTTTCGGAGTCGTTCAAGGCCACCGCAATCGCGCGAGCTGGCAGCTGGACCAGGCTCGCAGCCGCGGCGCGTGCGCGTCCAATGCATGTTGATTAAGTGCTCGTCCTGTAGTGTAGTACGGCAAGTGCGGCGCGGGAGGAGCAGACCGGAATTGGCCAGAGGACAGTGACTGATACGGTAGTGCGTTACAAAGATTAGCTGGGAACAAAGCGCTGAATCCAGACAACGCTAGTTCGCCAGTCAACCGTGCAAGCAAGCGCAAGTCAGAACGTCGTCTGTTGGGGATTTTGAATTGTTTAAATAGTGATTTACTTTGTATTCGGGACCCAGCTCAATAGTAAAGTAGATAAGGCGATTTGACGTTGCTGGCATATCGGTCGCCAGTAACAGCGAAGTGATGGCAGAGCGCGAGCAATCGCGCGGCGGAGGCCAAGAAGGCTTGGAGGACATCCTCCAACAGCGGGACGAAGGAGGACACCAGAATGGCGGAGCACCTAGTTACCCGGAGGGGGCCGATGCGGTGAGTAACAGACGCCAGCTATTGCTCCGCGCGGTCAGACTGTAGGCACAGCCAGCCGCCGCAAGTTCTGTTATATCAAAGGCATGGGAGAGACCGGACCCAGTTTTAAAATAGCGGGAAAGGGATGCGCCGCCGCTGTTGTTTGACCAGGCTGGATTAGAAGCTACGGGTCAGGCTTAGCTTATGAAGAACACGAATCTGTAGACCGCGAGTGGCCGACTCAGA